ATATATATATATATATATCACATTAAAACTGAAAGAAGAAAAGGGATGGGAGCGGTGACCATCTGTGTACTATTGGAATTCAAACCAAATCAAATTAACACTACCTGGAAATAGAGAATTCCTTAGCATGGGCTACCCATGAACGAGTAATGCAAACGTTTTAGTTGTCCAAATATTGTGACATATTTCTTTTTCCCCATTGTGCAGTTTATGCTCGTTCCATCGGACTACTAAAGGAATCCGAAGGCTTGAGCAAACTCCCTGTGGTGGATACTTAGTTTTGAACTCATGTGTGCAATCACTTGGATTTATTGGCAAGGTATAATGGGAAATATGCTGTGATGGCGCAAAGGTTAAGGCAATGAGCTATCGCGGCCAGTTGTCAAATAATAATTAAGGCAACAACATTTTGAAAGATATTGTCGAAATACCCGATGGCAACTTAAAACCCAATCAGCATCAGATCGATAAGTTCCATATTGTTTTGGAAATAGAGATGGACGGCACGCAGTAGTGACCAAATGGTTTTCATCATGCTGTCGGTCTCGAAATTGTAGAACTTACGCATTTTTGACTCCTGACTGACGTATTGGATTTTGTCGAAGCACATTACAAGCTTTAGGAAAATTAAAATAAGATGAAATGTTGTCCTCATTGAAATATTAAGCAAACTTTGAGGACTTACTGAATATGCTTTAAATCATATGTTTCTGTCCTCCTGGATGCGTTATTAAAAAAGTGTGAGAGTGGTTATTTTTTTCTCACGTTTTATCATGATAATGGAAATTTTAATGTCTTTAATGATAACTTTGTCTCAATACGATGCAATAGTTAATATTAATATTATACGCTTTTTTAAGATCATAAGGATAAAGCAATTTCCAAAAACTAAACTTTGTGATTTTATTCAATGAACTATTAAACTCATTTCCTATTATTCAAACAAATATGTTAATAATAGTCAAATATTACTCTCCTTAGCTGAAAATTTCACCAGAGAGAATTTACTACATGTAGATCTTCTAAATACGTAATTTTCTCATAACATTTAACAGCAGAATTAATTTGTCACGTGGAACTTCATAAATATCGACTGTATCTTGTACTTTAAAGTTATTGTTATTAAAGCATTAAAGAAAGTGTGTGTTTTATATTTCCTTTTCGTTGCAGACAACAGCACTTTATCTTTGGGAAAGATGTTGCTTGATAACAGCGAACAAGATATGAAATACATTTATAAAGATGTATTCACTATGAATGATAACACAGGAAAAGTTTGGCGAGTACAAGCTCAAAACATAGCTGTTGATGCAGGAGATAAATTTCAAATTTATTTCAAGTCTAGAAAGGAAAAGGGTTCGCGGTCATTCGTAGCCATAGATGACATCACTGTTGCGGATGGAGAATGCAATCGTAAGTTTCAACTTCTTGTAAATCCATAAAAAACTTTTCCCTTTTTTAGACTTGAACCCTTTCAATTAATTTTAGGTTCTACTTATGCTGAGACATTTATGCGTACGAACGCAATTGATCAGTTTGGATTTTGAGCTATTTTTGTGATCTCACTTAACCATTCAGTTTGAGTTAAGAATAAGCTAACTTTTATGTCATCATACAATTCGGATTATAAACTTAGTATTGTTTTCACTCAACCATTTAATTTAAGTTTTGAGCCATGTCTTCGTCCAACTATTTAATTTGTATTGTGAACCAACTTCTGTGTTCGCATGCAATCAAGTTTTTGTTAAGAATTTTATTCATGTCACTCATGAGCTGCAATAGTGGCACAACTCAAACACGATTTTTGGACTAAGCACAGGTGTAAATATGAAAATACACATTCTTTCAGAAGCAATACTAGCACAACTCATAATTCAACTTGAAGGCAATCTTCGTTAAAGCAAACTAAAGCATTTCTTACGCATTTTGCTTAGCAATGAAAACTTTAAATTTATTTCAAAACTTGATTTTTTGAGTTGTGCCACTATTGCAGCCAATGAGCGATGTGTTCTTAACACGTTCACGCCGGGGTGACCCACCGGTGGGTCACGCTAGATTGTCTCATCTTGGCAGCGCACCGGAGTTAAAACTGGTAACAATAAATTTCATTTTTTAGTTTTTTTCCGGGAATAATAAAAATCCATAACTACCAATTGTTTTTAACGGATGCAATTTTTATATTGAATTGCTTCTTCGCTGTGATAAATTTCCTTACAGTGAATTGTTATTGTTGAGAATAGATTAACTCCTCCCGAATATTATCTAATATTGAAATAGTTCTTCTACCAGTATTTTCTCTTTTCCCGTACCAGTATTTTCACTTTTCCCGGCGTGAACGTGTTAACATTCAGTTCGGATTATGCTCCCATGTATAAGTTTTAATACAATCATTAAATTTAGTTATTTATCCATTTTTTTACAAAAAAATAAAACAGTACTTGGTGACAGAATGTAACTTGGAGACACATTCAAGGTAGATATCGGAGTTTTTGAAAACATTGAGAACAAGCAATTAACTTTTTTTTGTTTGTTTTCTGTTGCATGTTTTTGAACGGATCTTAGATATATTCGTGTCATTGATTTCAAATCTGCAATTAGTTTCTCTTCACAACAAACTACAGTTTTTATGCAATTCAATAATAATTTACGACACCAGGATTTTTTTAAATTCACTCTCCACTTCTATACTAATAGTAAGTGTATGTTAAAAGTAATTGTATGCTAATACTAAGAATACTAAGTGTCCCCACTTCTCTGCTACGTAGGCAGTGTTAGGAATGTGTAGGCAGTGAATACGATACCTACTACATATCAGTTCATGATTAGATACGTTAAGGTCATATTTCTTCTGTCTTAAGTGTTATTTTCAAATGAGTAGACAAGTGTAAAACTATGTATAAAGCCATACGTTTTTTTTATAAACTTCTACTATCAGACAAAAATTAAATTAAATTAAAAATACTATTTCATAAAAAATATGTAGCTTTTCTAACAAAAGTAATTTTAGATTTGAGATCCTCACACCTGAATTAACTAAGATCAAATTCATAGATAAATGCAATAAAAAATTGTTCCCCTGTATAATTTGTAACTTAAATAATAATTCATTATACTTACACAAAATAAGTATTATACATTATTTTCTAACCTAAATAAACTTTTTTTTTAAATGTGTAAAAAAATTTCAGCCCCGCTTCGTGAGTGATACTTCGGGTACTATCCTTGCAAGTTAAACATTTTAAATCAATTTTAAATGTAAGCGACTGAATGTATGAAAGATTACATTTGTTTAGGATTTTTACACAAGTATTGGTATACTAAATATTGATTTATGATTTGTAGATCAAAGTATGTCAATATCCTTGGCGAGAAATTTATATTTTCTATAATTTATCTTAACAATCTCATCTATTTATTACTAATTACTTTTCTTTTAACTGTTGAATTACTTTTCTAGGACCAACAACTGAACCACCAGTCATTGTTACTGAAATGCCGAGTAAGTAATTGACATTTCTTATCGTATCTAAAAGTATTTGTTCTATGTATTGTACTTAGTTACTTCTTCACTTGTGCAGACATTCGAATTTGCTCTGCTATTTGGGAAATTTTTTTCCCCATGTAGCATACCAAGGGGTAACAAAATGCTTCCTGATATATATGATTTTTAGTACAAAGTTGCTTCTTCCACCTCTACAAATGAATACTTTATAAATTGATGAAAATGGACACTTGCTTCAGTTATACTGCTGTAAACATCGAAAAAAGTTGCAAAATTAATCAAAGTTCCGTAGATTTTTGTGCTTAATTCGTTACCACTTAATCAAATTTTCTAGTGATTGCGAAGTTTAAAATGTAAGATATAGTTCTCTGATTAGCCCGTTTAATCCCGACTTTTTAAATTAAAGTGGTGCAGAAAATGACTTAATGAAAAAAGTGGTATGATATGTTATTCAACTAAATGGCTAATATCAACTATTTGTAACCATTTCAGTTCGAAATGTCCCTGCATCTTATAGTTATGCATCTAGTGATGGAAACTTAAATCACTCATAAATTATGGTAGAAGGGAAACTTTTAATTCTCCCAGATAAAAGACAAAATTGAAACAGTTGTCCTACCACTATATATGTTTTTGAAAAAGGAAACTGTCCTATAAATATGACGCTGGGAACTAACAGGTTAATGCAGAACTGTCAACAACTGTGCTTTTTGAAATATAATTCACAGAGCAGTAGACACTTAAAAACTGAAGCTTTCAGAACTTTTGAAATTTAGCCAATATTTTAAAAGCATTACCACAAGAGATTGGGGAAAATGTGGAGTTTTATACAAAGTTTTGAATCTTTTACATGTAGTGGTGTGGAAAATTACTTTAAATCAATTTCACAAAACAAAGAATCATTCATAAAAATATAAGTTTAGATACCACTAGAAGAAATTTTCCTCCAAAGTGTAGAAAATTGATCACATTTTTTGCAATTTCCTCCTTAGTTCTTCCCACTCTGCACTTAAATCGCAAAAATCATAAGGAACATGGTCTCGTGGTGAGTTAATTTTAACCAAATTAACTAAACTCTTGTAGTCTATGGTTATGGATTCCCTACCACTTCATAAAATATATTGCTTAAATTGGAGCAGTTGGCCTCTCTGCTTTTGTGCAAGAATTTCTTTTAGCAGATTTAAACTTTTTGAGGGATATTCTTAGCATTTTTCAAATACTTGAAAACGTACTGTCTTGCAATCATGAGTTGAACTGTCAATGAATCAATATGAGAAGGGCTCATTGTGTGATTCTAAAACAATTGCAAGTTTATCATTAAATTTTATATTATTTATCAACCGTGAAGGACAAAAAACTTATTTAATCAAGAAATTAATATTAGCCCATTCCAGTCAGACAAAAACGTAACAGTTTTCAGTAATGTAAAACGTAAGAAAGTACCTTCATGAACAAAGTGACAGGCCAATCTTTGCACAGACTAATTCGATTTTCTCGTGCTGGCTCATCACCTCCTACATCAAAAAGCCTCCGCACGGTCTTTTATAAGTAGTCCGCGCAGACTATTTAGAAAGTGAACCAGTTGTGCGCATGACATACCTGCCAACTCTTCCGGATTTTCCGGAAGATTTTATTTTCATATTTAAAGTGGTAGCAATACTCAGGTTATTCCAATTAATTTTTTCAATTATAATGATAATAATAAATGAGTTTAACCACCACTACATATATATAATTACAATAAATATATCAAAGAATTATAATCTTTGCGCAAGCGAATTTCAACGGGATCAAAATATAAATATATTTGTGAGTCAGACTGTTTTTTGTTTATTGTTTTACAACCACTCTGAAAATCCATTATCGGAAAGAGTGAAAGTTGGCAGGTATGGCATGAATCCAAAATCTTTTACAAAAGTAATTGAGAGAAATTCATCATATAAATTTGAGAATTGAATCTGTAGTGGCTGACAAGTGATTAAGGCAAACCAATAATATTCATAAATAAAAAAAAATTTTTAGTCATATATTTGCTACCACTTTCTTATTTTAACTAGATTTTGTATTAAGTGACTCTATCTAAAAGTGAATATCCTTCACAGTGGTCTGATCGGACTATCTATAAAAAACCGTGTGGAGGCTTTCAGTTATAGGAGGCGTTGGCTGGCTACCACCTACGTTTTAAAACCTCAGAGTTGTACAATTTAAGTACAAGTTAACATTTTATAATTTTGTAAGCCATTTGTTTTCTCTTAATTTCTTCTTTTAATTCATGATAGAAACTACTTCAAGGTATAGTAACACATGGTGGAGAGGTAATAGGCCTAGAACAATTAAATGACTAATGCTTATTTTACTAATATTTCATAAACACGATAGTCTCGTTAAATTTTTGTTATAAAAGATTAGTTATAAATTGTAATATTTGCAATTGGTGAAGATGTCGAAGCGTTACGGTAACATTCTGAATTCTCCTAACCGCTAAAAGCTGGTAGTCTATTTTTGAATGTTTAGCCATTTAGGGTTAATTGAATATTAATTTAAAGATAACGAAATTATAATTTTTCTTCTTCTCAGAAATAAAATCTATTCTTGATTTAAAAGGGAAAACCTCTGTTTCTAAAGAGCTGACTATCAGATGAATGTTAATTATTTAAGTTTAATTGAATCTTAATTTAATGATAACGAAGGGACTATTTTTCTCAAAAACAAAATTTACTTGTGATTTAATGGTGGAAACCTCTGCTCTTAGAGGGCAGACTATTAGACGAATGACCGTCTTTTAGACGAATGTTTAGTTATTTAGAGTTAATTCAATATTATTAATTTATTGTTAACGAAAGTATGATTTTTATTGGAAACAAAATTTACTTGTGATTTTATGAGGGAAACTTCTCTTCTTAGAGGGCTTATTGTTAGACGAATGGCTATTAGTCAATTAAACAGTTGTTAAATATTTAAGGGTTAATAGAATATTATATATTTTATGTTAACTATAGAGTTACTTTATTTTTCAGAAACAAAATTTACTTGTAATTTTGATGACGGAAAAATGTGTTCTTGGAGTGCAGACAACAGTAAAATTAAGTGGACACTTAACAAGCCACCCCAAATCACTGACAAAATGCCGAAATTTGATCACACTCTCGGAAACTTTCAAGGTATGATTTATATGAATGATATACTTTTAATATAATTTATTTTCACGCTTTAAACTTTCACTTTCTGTCTGTGGAAAAATGCTTTCAGTAATTATGATGATGATGAAGATTAACGCAATGTTTTGTATAACACTTTTTTTTGTTTAGTAAGACATCTGATTATATTTGTTTGTTCAGAAAGCTAGACCAATTTTGAAGAAATATTAAAACATAATATATGAAAAATTTTATAGCATTTTTTAAGTTGCACAAGTGTCATTATGTCCCACAACCTTTCCTCTTCTGTCAGGTAACATGTTAATTCTATCCTTTTTTTTGGGGGGGGGGGATCTTTCGGGCTATTTCGCGAACGTGTTTTCTGAGTGGATTTTTATTATTTTCTAAGAATTTAGGTTCTTTTATGATTAAGAAAAAATTTTAAAAAAATAGAACGATGAAAGATTTAGGGAATATTATTTTTCCAATGCCCATCTGGGGAATGACCTTTCGTTATATAGGAATTTACAGGACAGATTTGTTAGCCAATTTTTCAGGGGCACCATTTTTAGGTGGGCCAACGTTGCTCCCACAATAAGGACAGATAGTACAGAGAATGAAAGAACATCCATGCCTTGCCCGGAATTCGAACCTAGAACTTTTCTGATGCAAGACCAGTCCTGTGACCCCTACACAGGCCGGTCGGCAATTTAGAGAATATTTTTTATTTTATTTCCAATGGGCGTTCTCCAGAGGTGGTATCCACTCTTTCAGGACCACCACAATGGGTGAGGTGCAGTTGGTCATGTTAATTTGGACGTCTAGTTTCTGCTACACTGGATGGCAGCACCGAGACTCTATTTGGATGCTAAAGTGCACTAGGAATTTAATTTTGCCGGAAAATATCAAGAGCCAATAAGGCACTCCAGTTATCTTTTACATGCCGCATAATCATACGACATAGCCACTGAGGATTTCCTGCATCCCGATAATTCGGTGTCTGGGCCGGGATCGAACCCGCAGACTTGAGCACAGAGGGCCGACGACAAATCAACTGCGCCACCCAGCCACTATTTAGAGAATATTGTGGAGAGGATAGAACATCCTAACCGAGAAATAACAACCTCTGTCAAATTGTCAACGATAGTTGACAGTCGTAATATAATTCTGAGTGAGTCAAAAACGGAAATCGTTGTAAGGAAAAGTCACCTTGTCTCAAGACTACAATGACGTTAGGAAGCAATTATCGTGAGATCGTAAACTGCCCATTCACAGCTTTTCAGTAAGGGTTTAAATGATCCGAGACCATTGAAATTTTTCTCGGACCACTCTAAAATTAGCATCAGTGATTATCTATACCAGCAATTCTTGTAAAGGAATAGTATGCTGTTTTGTTTTTTACTTTTGTGTTTTTGTCATTAGAAAGCAAATTCTTTCATAATCTTGAGTATTAGACATTCTCTCAATTGAAGTTATTCATTTAAATTAAATTTAATACGAAATAAAAAAAAACCTGAGCTATGCTGGTAAACGGAGTAGTGAAAATATCGATGGTTTGTGAATGTCTTTTGGTTACTGGTTCTTCGTGTCAATGACTAAATTTCCTTAATTTCTACCCCCAATGTCTGAAAATATTTTTCACTGAAAGAATATATTTCAAGTGCCATTAAATTAGGAAGTTTTTTCATAACAAAATGATTTTTTTGTAAAATAACAAGAGAGAATGTTCATTTAAAATTCTTTTGGACTCACAGTATTATTCCAGAATTGAATAAATGTGGGTGGTATACTTTTTTGTACTACATATTATATTTAATTTCATTCATCTGGAATAATATAAAAACTTAAAATTAAAGATTTAAATAATTAGATACTGTTTGAATTAGTATTATTCTAATTCTAATTACTTCTGTAATCCATTAGAAATAAATTTAATTGTTATCATCCTCATAGGCCGATATGTATACATAAAAGGCGACGATACTTCTACGAAGGAGGGAAATTTGATACATTCCAATGGTGCTGATTCATCATGGAAAGGAAATTTCTGTGTTGGATTCTGGTATTTCATGAATGTAGAAGGCGGAAAAAGCAGGTAATTGCATAATGTAAATGCAAATATAGTATAATTAAGTGATACATTATAGGTCTGAATTTGATCGGCGTGAAATGAAACAGTTGATTTTCAAGGTTAAGCTTTATATATTGCCCTATCATCACGAGAAAAACTCCCAGTAGAAGATTTACTCGAAAAAGAGAAAAAACTCGTTGTAGAACCATTTCATTTCTTGCTTGTTTTCGGGAGGAGTAAAGTATCCATGACCACCATAAACTTTTTAATCTATGCATGTAATAACTGTTATAATCCATAGCAGTCATGGGTGCTTTTTTCCTCCCGAGAACAAGCTAGATATGAAATAGTTTTATTACAAGTTATTTTTTCTCGTTTCTGTGAATGGCTTCCTACCGGAGTTTCTCTCATGACGTGATTACATCTACTTTGATAGTTTTCATGCCCTTTATTAATGTATGCTAGTCTAAGTAAAGATGCCATGGATTTCAAGTATCGCGATTTAACAGCGATTGTCAAAAATTCTTTTTATGAATGTACTCGTCATTATGGCAAGTGTTATTATTGATGATTCTTGGTGTGTCGAGTGAGTAAGGGGAGAAAAGGACTAAGAAAGTCATCATGTGAATAAATTTATATCGAAACGGTAAACCAGTGAATGGATGAATCAGCTAAATGATTCGTTTGAACATGAGAGAATCAGATTCAAAAAATTGAAATTTTTTTTAATAAAACTTTAACTTGTTTTACTTCCTGTTAGTTGATGATTACAAATTTAATTCTTGCATTATGACGGTGGTATATATATATATATATATATATATATATATA